AAAGCTCTGCTAACATTGACACCAGCCCTCTCTTTAATCATTAAAAGTCAAGGACTATAATTCCTATAATTCTACACACCTGTAAAACGCAAACAAACCAACAAAAAAACTAAGCCCAAAACCCCACCTTACTTTATTGTATATATTATGTTTGGAACAGACAAGAAGATGGCATGAAAAAAAAAAGCAGCCCAGTAAAAGGGTGTGGGTAAGTAAAAAGCCCAGTGGCAGGGCAGTATTGTCGGTGTGTTTGTCCAAACTACCCACAGATGTGGCAAGTGCAAAATGATCCCTGTGGAACCTGGCCCTAGACATGAACAGCTGGTACGTGTGCCATCCGAACGTCACCAGTACAAAATCAGCCTGGATCAGAAATAGGTATATGGTATAGATTTGAATTAACTGCCTGACAGAAGGTTTGTGCTGCTTTTACATTAGTTGTAGGACAACAGGCGTAATCAGACGTCTGATCCCACATGAAGCCTTTCAGCATGAAGTTCACCTGGCAAAACAGCTGAAATGTGTTTGAAGCTATGAGTAAATCTGTATCAGACTGGTGTTGTGTAGCATGTGGCTGCAGCACTTTTATCCTGGTCCTCAGAACCCTGAAGTTAGGTTTATTTTAACACCAAATCACTGCTTCAGCCTGTACCCACAAAACCAGATGAGAAAAACATCACCAGATGAGCCGTTTCCCTTCAAGTAAGTCGAACTTTAGATGACTTTGGGTTTATGTTATTGCTAATTTAGTGATGCTTTAATCTGGTTTGTTAATGTCCAGCTTGTGTGTTGCTTTGTGTCTCAGGCGTTGTTTGTCTAACATCTTGGAAACTTCACTAACAATATCAGCAGATGGAGAAAAGAGATATCTTCCTTTGAAATATCCACGTTGCCTTAATTAGGGTTGCTTCGGCATCCTAAATCTTATGTCTTCCTTCCTTAACTTGGAGCACAATTTAATTTGTATTTGAAAACCTAATATAACCACAACTATGTCCAAGAGCTATATGATTTTCATTAGATACGGTGATTAGTCACATCTGAGACTTCAAAATACATCAGTTTGTGTAACACTCACATTGCAAACTCCTAGCCCAAAGACATTCTGCTCTAATTGCTCATCATTCTGCACAGATACTAGCAGATGTTTTAGCAAGAAAGATTGGTTCTCTACAAGACACTGAGCTGTGATTAACAGGGTCTTACGACGCTTATTAGTTACCCAGGTTTGTATGCTTTGCTACAGTCAGGTGTTTTCCATCTGTTGGCTGCAGGACTCTGGTGCCACAATTGGGGAACAGGAAGGTGAAATGATAAACACAGCTGCCGGCTCTGAGTTCAAGTACAGCCTGGGTTTAGGGGCTCTGAAGCTCAGCTGCAGTCAGAGGTGTACCTCTTAAGACAATAGAGCTCAGGAGAGCTCAGAAGAGCTAGCCTGGGAGGGGGAAGGAAAGGGAAGGGAAATGGAGTGGAGAAGAGAAGAGAATTGCTCTTGGGCAATATTATCCAAGTGATGGTTTGGGTGTGACTGGGAACACAGTAAAGACACTGGTGTGATACCCAAGCGCTGCTCACCAGTCCCTTAGAGTCAGTTTCCCCACCTCTTCCCTCAGAACTGTGAAGACACACCTACATAAAGGCTTCCATTTTATTTGCCTTTTGAAACGCATTCTCCAGAGGTGTGAGCATTGGCATTTTGGGTTACCAAGCAGAGAAAGAGCTGGGGAATGGGTGTTCTCCACAACCCGCCTGCCTGTTCTCCAAACAGTCTGTCCAACTGCCATCTAAAGAAAAGGTGAAAGTATGGTTCTGCCAGCAATGATGAGAATGGTTAAAGCAAATGGCTTTCAGTTCAGTACTGAAAAGGTACGATGTACATACTGAAATGTACAATTTCATTTTCCCACTAAGAATACTAGATACATCCTATTTTGAAATATTTTAACTTAGTTAGACCTCTTCAGTATTTTATTTCCTCCATAAGACTTCTCTTGGTTGCTGAATTTCTGCAGGGTATTAATGTGCTCTGCCTGACTCTTACAAACTCTTAGTTTTCAGGTTAGTGTAGTGCTCTCACAGGTCCAAAGACAAAAGCAGACCTAGAAATAGGGCAAGCTGTAAGGATAGAACCTTCATAAAAAAATTACTCCACAACACAGCTAGTCATGGAAGAAAACAAATTGATGATTATAGAATAGGTGGGTAGAAGAACTAATTTGTTTTTTCACTAAAGACTATGAGGTTTGTGAAAACAGCTGGCTAGACAAGGATGAAAATCATTGAAGGGTTAAAAAGCTTGCCTCAAAATATTTACAATCAAATTCCGGAACAAGCATTCCACTTGCTCTAGAAAACAGAGAGTGTGCCTGGGAAGACATTGTATCTTTTTTGTTTGTATGCACACCTTCACAAATAAAAGCCTAGAAGCTGCTGTCCTGGAAAGGATAAGCAAACAGGAACTCCTAGGACAGGAGCAGGAAGGGAGAATTGGGGTGCAGTAGAAATGGAAAAGATATAAGGAGGAATGAACAGGATGGTCAGAGAAAAATTAAATATAGTAAGATGGTTCAGCTGACTAGAAAGCAAAGACTGAGGATAGAGAGAGACTTACAGAAAGACATAGGCAGCTGAACAGAATACAAAACATTTAACTACTATCTCCAATACAGAAGTCACAGAGCATCACCTGAAATGTGCAAGGGCCCAGTTCAGGACAAACAGAAAAGAAAATATTTACAAAATAATTTACAAAACAAAAAGAAATATTTATCCCTGTAAGCCCTAGTGTTCTCCATCACAAAATGGTGAAAGTTCACAAGTGTTGATGAAGGGCTTAAACATGATAGAACAAACTCAGCTGATGGACATTAACTACAAAAATACCATCTTTCACTGCAGAAGTCCATGGGCCATGTCCCCAGTTTTCAGGATAAGTCTTTGGGAAAGAATCATAACTCGGCAATCCTTATTTGTACTCTTTCTTCCCTACATGTTTAGTACTAAGTATTAGGTAAGGTATTGGGCTAGAGATATTTTTTTCTCTGACCTAGTACATGTGTCCACATGAGGGCCAGCTCATACAGAAACAACTGGAGGTAGCTCTACCAGCTGAGGAAAGACCAAGGAAGCCTGTGCTACAATCAACTGCAGGCTCTCTTCCACTGATTTAAGACTGCCCTTAGAGAAGCAGTACCGTAAGCGCTGACTTTACTCCCTACCACCCCAGATGGTGATACCTCCAGGGTCTGTCACAGCTGTCCCCACCAGGCTTGCCTCCAGGAGGGTGTGCTGGGGGTGCAGGGGCTGCCTGGTTCAACTGCTGCAGCACAGCAAAGGCCATGGGGGCCCTGAAGCTGTAGAGGGGTAGTGTCCGGCTTCATTTGGCCCCGAAACAGGGTGATAAACAACAGTGACTGAGCCAAGCTTATGCCTTGTCCTCTATAATGACCACTGGACTGGGAATGGATGCTGCTTACTTGCAAGCCAGGAGCAGGTGTCTTGTATGTATCTTGTACAGCTGTGCATCAATGGCCATCTCCAGGTCTTTTTGTCCAGGGGTTCATTGTGAAAGCTTCTCCTGGGTAAAATGCAGCTTTGCCTCCCCTCTGTGTGGGAGCTGAGGAAGAGAAAGAGGCACACAACTGCCGAATCACGGCATTTCTTCTCGCTGGAAGCTGTGGTGTGGCAGGGAGGAGAGGGCCATGCTGGGGCCAGCAGGCTGGCCAGGCCTAAGGGGGGCAGGGCGGCCTACAAGTCTCTCCCTGCCTCATCCGCCGCTGGTCAGGCAGGGAAAGAAGGGGAAGAAGGCATGCTGGCATTCTCCCCGGTTACCTCCTGGGCCATCTCTGGGGAGGCTGCTGCCAAATGGCCTCCCAGGGCAGCTGGGCGCAGGGGCCTGCCAGGCCCCCAGGCAGCTGCTGCCCTCTGAGAGGCCCCAGCAAACAGCAGCTTGTGGCGAAGAAATCCCATTTTACTAATGCCCAGTCGCCGGTTACTGACTGGTTTAAACCCTGGAGTGAGTCAGTGGGGGAAAAAAAAAAAGTCTTCCAATGTGGGACAATAAATAGGTAGATACGTCTGACACATCAGTGCAGGCCAGCTGAAACAGAGCCTGGACTTTGCCTCCTTCCAGAGCCGAAGGGTGCCGGGTTCTGCATACCAGAGAGCTCCGTCCCCCAACCCTCCTCCTCCTCCTCCTCCTCCTCCTCCACCGCCCCCGGCGCCATGGCAGCCCGGGCAGGCCAGGCCGGCAGAGGGCGGCCACGGGCGGGCCCCGGGATAGAGCCCGGGTCGGTTGGGTCGCACCCTCCGGCGTTAAACACGCCGGGGATTTCTTTTCTCTTTCTTTCTTTGGTTTGCTTTGTTTGATGACGGCAACCCACCGCCGGGCCTTGTCTCCCATGAAACAGCAGTAAAACGGCTCTCGGGGAAGGCTGGGTGCTCGCCAGCGCCCCGGGGCACTTGCTGCAAATGGCGGCGCAGGCCGGCCCCGAAGGCAGCGGGGTGCCCGTCCCCTCCCGAACCCCGCCAGGGGAACCGTGCCCCCGGTTTGTGAGGATTTCGCCTCTCCTCAGGGCCGGGGACAGCCGGCGGAGACAAGAGAGCCGACACCGGCCACGTCCCTGTGTGCAGCGAGGGCTGCCGCAGCCCCGGGGGCCTGGCTTTGGGGTGACCTCGCTTGTCCCACCTGTGTGAATTTCCAGACATCTTGGTTGTGTAGACATTTGCCATCAGCATAATTCCCTGGTGTCAAATCAGCAGATGTGCCGGGCCTGTTGGCTCTCCCTGTCCCACTCCCCGCTGGCACCCAGTCAGTGTATTTTTGAGTGGGTGAAAAGCCCCCCTTGTCCCTCCCATCCTAATGCTTGGGAACCAGCGCTGAATGAATTCACAAGTTTTCTTTTTTTTCCCCTTGTTGAGAAAGAAAGAGTAATAAAGCTGATTAACATAGTGCTACACGTGGTTAATGATTAATGAAAAAGTGCAGGACAAGCGCAGTAGCAATGAAGACCAGATAGTTACTGGAAAAGCCCTAGAAATTTCTTGAGAATATAATTCCTTCGCTGCTACTGGTGACCTCTTCCTCACAGGACAGGAGAATAAAAGGGGACTACAGAAACTACCTGTTTCCAAAGTACCTGGAAAAGGCGTGAAATCTCCAAACAGGTAAGGCTAAACTCACTAACGTCTGAAAGTAAAGTTACCTCTCTAATTTTACCAAATAATCCGACCTGACAAGTCTGCATAATGTCTTAAGTATTAAGCTAGTGAGCATTTAGAAATGCAGTATAATATGCTAAATGTAATTCTATTTTAATTGACATGCTTAAGCCAATTTTGTTAAAAAAGTTAAGCGTTCATGAAGTATTTTAAAATCAAAACTCTGCAATTCACAATGTTTTTAAGAGAATCTCTTCTTAACTGCTTCTAAAAACTGACTTGAGGGCACTGCTGGTGAAAGTGAAGCAGTCTGGAGGAATGGCAATACCTCTCAATGGTGGCGTACTGGGCAATCTAAGAGCTGAATCCCAGCTGACAAGAGAATTTTATTGACATTTTCAAATGTGGTCAGGAAAAAGTTCTTATTTGCTTGAAAATCTAGTTCTCCTGTTCCTGTAGCTTGGTTTCATTGTTAATGATGTGTCCCATTGGGCTTGTCCTCTTGTAGAAATTCTGTTTATGACACAGGCACTGGAATGATCCCCATACATTGACATTACAATTTTATGTGTGGCTAAATGTAGAACAGCAAAAATTATTTCAACACTGGTAGGGTTCAGAGAGCAAGGAGATGATGAAATTAGAACTACTGTTTGTAGAGATACAGTTGGAAAAGGAAAGGGGAATAAAATGACAGTTTTTACCATTTACCATTTATGTTACATAAATTTACCATTTATGTCAATGGTAAATACAAGGAAAAAAGAGTAAATACCCTAATGAAAGCGTGATGAAAAACAAGTATGTGATGTGTGCTGAAAGGTTTCCTCAGGGGAGTGACACTGGAGGAAAGTCTGACATTCAAAGTGTGCATTCCCCACCAGTAACCCAGAGCTAAAAAGCTAAATGAGCTAAATACATTTAGCTAAAAGCTAAAGAGGATACTGGAAGAATACTTGCAAGAATAGGGGATGTACTGAGACCGAGGGCATGGACTATGGATTTTTAATTAGACCACTATATCCTTTCTGCACACATAATGGGGTAAAACTGTTGCTTTACTGATAAAACAGAGACTCTCATTTCTTCTATCTGCCCCATACCGCAAAGTTAGTAGAGTCAAATAGCAGGACTGGGGTAGGTGGAAGTTTCTGTTTAGAAGATAATACAAAAGCTCTGTTAACAAAGAGGTTGCTGAAACCTCATGTTTGGGAGGAAGGAGACAGGAGAGTTTTCAAAGGTGGCTGCAAGCTGGAACATTTATCTTGTGAAAGTGCAGAAAACTTGACATGTATTTTGCCTTCCCCCTTTGCCGGTCAGCTGCCTTCTCTTAAGATGGTGCAGAGCCAAGATAAGTCGGTGAGGGCATGGGCAATGGTGCTTGGGAAGCTGAGTTGTTACATTGTAGCAGAAAGAAAATTGCTAAAGGTTTTTTAAAGTTGTCAGTTTCTTTGGATGGTCAGTTGATACACATCCCTGGGAAATTGCTCAGGTGCTTCAGTCTTTCCCATAGTCTCTCCTTAATGTAAGTTTCTTACTCTGTTAAATGTAAGTTTCTTACTTCTATTAAACATCAAAAAGTGGTCACTTCGTTCTTCTGAGTTACCAAAACAGATATATTTTTTCAATCACAGATAATATATTGTATAATCAGCAAAAATGTATGGCCAACAGTATTTTGTAATACCATCATTTGTAAGTGAAAAAAATTAGCCCAACCACTACAACAAACTCAATTTACTTCTAGCATATCCTAATCACAATCCTGTTATTCAGCTCAACTATGTCCATTGCCTCTGCATGTGCACAGGCCTCCAGTGTTCCTCTGAGTGTCTCCCCATCTAACCAGTGCTCATGCTGGTTCCGTGTTTTATTTCTTGGCAAAAATATCTTTCCTGTAGAAAATGTCTTGAATGCAACAACTGTTTTGTTGTACATTTTTCACCTTCTTTCTTGATCCTGTACAGGTTGTATCTCCACCTATTCACAAACAAACAAGTAAACAGGAGAAAAGATCTTATGGTAAATAGTAATTACTTGAAAGGCAAATTGGGATTTTAGTATTAGTTTCTTTGTCAGAGACCTGGCAATAGCATTATGCATTAAAAAGGTTGCTCTTAAAGTTCACTGCTAATTAATACTATACCATTCTTTCCCTCTTGCTTTTGAAAGGAATATTTGTTTTTAAAATGCAGGGAAAGTTTGCTGACCTTTGTGAAGGTGTAATAGATTTTATCTTCACCCTTCCTGGTTGTATGTTTTCAGAGGAATTGGATGGTTTATATGGAGTCTAGTGTTGTTATTCTTGTATTACTTTTATTCTTACATTACTTTAGTTCAGGTTTTATTCTTTGCGGTTTCAAAGGCAGGCAATTAGAGAAATTCTTTTTCTAAGAAGATGATAACTGATGTGAGGCTTAATGGCAGTACATGATATTTTTTTCTATTGATTCTCCATAGTAAAATGTGCTGTGAGTCTGGATGTAGGAACATGGGGTGACCTGAAGGCAAAGATGTGACTCCAGTACAGTGTAACCTATCAAACAGACTCTATAGAGGATGTACCTCTCAGTATATTACATACAGCATATCTTTACAAGACTGAATATGAAGCAGAGAGGTTAGGAAGGTTTTGAAGTGGTATGAACAAAGACAAGGCAGAAAGGTTTCAGTCACTGGAAGAGGTATAAGGAGAGAGGACATGGGACTCTTCTGATCTTAACACTGGAGAGAGACAATTGAAGCCATAGTCGCAGTTACTCTGCATTCCAGTATAAGCTGTAATACGTATAACCCTAAGTGAGGATTATTATTAGCATTTCAGAGTTTCAAGCCAGTCTTGCCAAATTTGGGTTTGTGACATCCCTTATGCTTCTGAAAATTCTTTTTCATATATATTGAAGTACCATCTACTGTCTGATTGCTAGGGTAACATCAGGCATTGGTGTTAGCAATACTGTCATGTAATTTGGAGTTCAAGGGATACAGCGGCATCTTAAAATGCATAGAAGGATGCTGCAAAAAGGGAGGGAATAATCTTTTCCCTCTTGGTGAAAAATTGATGGAAAAGAGATCCTAGAAAAAAAAAATTCACTGGAGTGTATAGTTTAGGAAGGCTATAAATTCAGTGTCAGAGTAATGCTATTGTTAAGTTGCTTATAATACCTCCCTGTGTTTTGCTCTCATTTGTGCTCAGTTGTGCTGTTGACAAACTGTTTCATTTAAATGAAAAAACCTCACAGTTTTCAGATTTTATTTTCTCTGAAACATGACAGTGCAGGTATAGTTAATGTGAAACAAAAGGAAGCAAGCATCATTACTATGACTACTTAGTTGTGTAAAAAAGAGAGATGGGAAATTACAGAAATACTACATATGGTGCTTCTGCATTTAAAAACAATCTGAGCTCAGAAAATCAGAAACAATCCAGCAACTCATAGAACCTCGTATATGAATTTCAAGGTAAATATGCATTTCCAGATACACTGGACAAGCAGAAGGCAGCTGAAATGCCAGCATGCTGGGGAGATGGCTGGCAGAAACCTTTTCATCTCAGACAGTACTATAAAAGAACTGGTCCTTCAGTGGGGCTCATATTTTCCCTTTCTGTGCTGTTGCTTTAAAGGGAGGGGGAGAAAATGAATGCAAAGGATTTGGGAGGAGGTGACATTTCTTTAATGGCATCCTGTGGGTGCATTATCTTGCAGAGACCTTCTTCTTTGTATCTCACTCTGATTAGCACGTTTCTTTGTGCAGTTTTAAAATGCTTGGACAGTTTTCCCTGAGGAAATACATGTGCCTTCCAGCAGTTTTAAATTGCTCTTGATATGTTTGATATCCTTATACATCTGCAAACCCATCAGAATCTTGCTGAGTTCTTGACTGTAGTGCTTCCTGTGGTAATTATATTTTCTGCAATTTTAACCACACATCGTGTGAAAAAGTGTTTCCTTCTGTCTGTTTTTAATCCGCTATCTTTTAATTTCACTGAGTAGTCCCTCTCGGGCTTTTGAAATTTGAAAAACAGAAAGAAGTTCTTTATCTTCTCCCTTTACTCTTTTTTCCCCTTATCCTTTCCTTGGCTTCCCTCATGTTGTTCCATTTTCAAAGCTAACCAGGCCCACTCATTTGAATCTTCCCTAGAGGAGGGGATAAGTGCCTTTGAAGAGAAATCTTCTCTTAAACTCCAGGAGGGCAGTGAGTCTTTTTGAAAGTGAAAATCTGAGAGAATATTGAATATTCCAGAACTGTTCCAATAATTTATCAAAAGTCACTAGAATATTTTTGTATAATCACCACCAACTTGTTCTTACTGGATCCAAACTTATGGCTATTTTTGGTGAACTTATTAAACAGAGGTTTTCGTTCAACAGTGGCACTGAGGTTGTTTAGACAAAGACCATTATTTTGGCCCTTAAGATCTTTGGAGGCTTAATTCCACCCTCCCTCTGTATGCTATGTTACTTCAGAATTAATTTTACTGAGCCTCCTGAGACTCTATACTGACTATTCAACACCTGACATTCCTAGGTCTCCTCCCTAGTTCCTGTGGCTGCATCTTTAATAGGAAAAAAAAAAAGTGGGGAGAGAGGGGGTGATGGGGTGATATCCCTTCACGGCAAGCTTTCCTGTGCTTATTGACAAATACAAAAGCCCCCAGGTAATGTGGCTGTCATGTAATTTAGCTGAGGTGGAGGAGTCTACCAGACCTCCTTGGCAGGAACTGTGATTGAGATGGGACATAGAAAGAATGGACGAGGAGGAATGCTCACTGTAGTGATGGCTACTGAGAGGTCTGAGACAGGAGATGATGAGTAGGCCTGTACTGTAACAAAAGATGAACTAACAACTAAGAGAATTTGTGGGAGAGAAAGAGGAATATTGTGTGTATCTTAAGATTTCCCATAAGATGTGATAATATTTTCTGCCCAAGCATAAAAGACCAGCGAATTTTACAGAATTTGCATAGGAAGTGGAAATGCTCAGGGAACAATAGAGTGGATCTT